TATATATATATACTGTATATATATATACTGTATATATATATATATATATATATTGCAACTAAATTGCAAACACCATAATAGCCGATACTTATTATGTAATCTTCACGTAAATAATCTACAAATAAAAAAACAAACTAAAGTTTTTATATAATAATAATAATATTATATTATAAAAACCAAACAAATGATTTTGTTTTGTTTTGTTTAGCTATTGTGTTATATTTATTTGTTGTTAAACTTTAAAATACAGTACTAATGATAATAATATAATTTCATGAATTGAATTTCAAATATATATATATATTATTTTTTTAGAGAGAGAAACTAAAAAACAAATAATTATATTATTTGATAAGTAATTCAATTAAATGTAATAATAATTGTATAAAATTTACACACAAAATAAAACTTAAAAATATATATTTATTTATTTACAGAATATTCTTAAATTATATTTATTTTTTTCTATAAAAGTTTTATATTTAATTAATAAAATTAGTTTATTTATAGACATATATTGAAATAAATAGATAGTTAATTAATTTTACTCATATATATATAAATATATAAAATGTTAATAGAAATTAAACTTTTTAAAATAAATTATATTTTTGTAAATTTTTTAATACAGTATATTATACAGTATATATATATATATATATATATATATATATATATACAATAATATAATAAATAGCAAGGTAATAAATTATACATTAGATTTTTATAGATTTTATATATACCGGTATATATATTTTTTTTTGATAATGTAATATAATATACCAGTAAAAACTGTTTTTTATAAATTTAAAAAAAATTATATACAGTATATATAAAAACTAATTTTTAACTCAACTATCATCCAATACATTATCAACTATGCTATTCAAGCAGTTAATAATTAATGCATATTTGATTACATTATACATACATATAGAGTAAATGATTGATTTGCTTATGTGTTATACAGTATATATATTTTATATATATATATATATATATATATATATATATATATGATAGAGAAAATTATCTTTAAAAAGCATATTTAAAAAACTAAATTTTTTTCATGTATGAAAAATCAAGTCTAATGTATAAAAAAAATTTTGTATATAATTTTAAAATTTATATTTTGTTGCATCACTTGATTACTTTAAAAAATTATATATAATATGATAATATTGTTATCAATGAATAATAACAAAAAAAAATCTAAACTTTTATTGTTGTTTATAACAAAATTTTTGTTGTTGAATATATTGAATAAAAAAATTATATGTAAAATATAAGATTATTTTTTTATTATTATTAAACTTAATTTACATTAACTAGATTTTGTATTTTGTTCATAAATATTAAATTTAAAGTATAAGTTTAAAAACAACTTTAACATAACTTTTATAAAATATTAATAATAATCAATACTGATTTAAACATTAATTTTTATTTATGTACTAATTTTAAACAATTTACTATTAATAAAATAAAGATAGTTTTGTATAACTCAGCAATAATTAAAAAACATTAATTATTAATTAAAATTTTTTATTAAATTACAAATAACCTAGTTAAGTTATGCACAAATATTCGACAATATGCTAAATATGTTAATTGTTGGTACAATTTAATTGCAATTTAACTATTTATATATTTATAAAAATTAATGATTAAATGTTATTAATTAACTGACCATGTTCAAATTGGATATAAGTGTAGACCTGGATCATTTATAAGTTTTGACCATAAATATATATAAATATATATACTGTATATTTATACTGTATTATATAAATGATATAAATTGCATGCTATAAAATATTATATAAAATATTTTTTTTAAAATTATTATCAATTTTTTTATGCTTATTATTGATATACGGTATATATAATGCTATAAATTATCATAATATTTAAATTTATCATCATAATTATAATAAATTCAAACAATCATAAAAATGCATATAAATATAATATATATATATATATATACACATTAAATAGTACTTAAAAATTATTTTTAATGATGCATAAATAATTATATAATATTTTTAATTATAATTTATATAATTTAATTATTATATTAAATCATTATTTTTTTGCAAAATAATTGTTAATATAAATATATAAATCTATAGCTATATTATTATAATATAAATTTTACAGTTAATGATTGCATAAATTTTCATATTATTTATATCTAATGTATTTTAAGATTAGGACATAAATTGCATTTAAATATAATTTTTTTTAAAAAGTCATTAGTATTTTATTAAAAAATAATATGAATTTATTTATTATTATTATTATTATTAAAATCAATATTTATTACAATTGAATAGCAAAATATTATCTTAAATTATAATAATTGTATGATAAATAATAATTTTGAAAAATTTCATAAACATATGCGTCTAATAACTTATTAAATTTAAATAAAATTTAATTGGGCATAAAATTTAAATTATTATTGAAATTATTATTTTAATAAAAAACCAATAATTTATTAGAAATTTATGTAAATTATATTATTAATTAAAATAATTAGTATTATATTTAAAACAATTAGAGAGTGATTTTATAATTATACTATAGTTTATACTTTGATTTTATTTATAATTTATGAGTTTATTATTAATATTATATATTAAATAATTTTTATATATTTTTCAATTTTATTTTTATCTAACATATAATAATATTTTTATATACTGGGATAAAATTACAATATAAATATTGAAAGTAAAAGATAATTAAATTAAATGACAGGTCTATACACTTATATGTTTACAATATATATATAATAAATAAGTTATATAAGCCTCAGGCCTAGCACTCAAATTAAATTAAAAATAAATATATATATATACTTTATATATACTTTATATATACTTTATATATACTT